ACCCATTCAAGCCGTCTCCAGCCATTATTAGTCTCAAAGTGGGTTCCTCGTCATCGAAAATACTGTTGGTTTATATACTAGATTGTCAGTGTTGTTTGCATACTGGGTATTCTGCAATACTGTGATGCCGTTCCATAGGGAACTACTATACATGCGTCTAAGCTTCGTAATCTGTCTTGTATTGACACCACAGAAAACTTGCTTATTCGTTTTAGAGTAAAGCCACATTGGGCTGTCTGCTGTGTCCACCATGGGAAATCGAACCCCGGATGTATGCGATGTAAGTCCCTGAACTAACTGCTGCCTTACTACAGAGGTACCAAAGAGGGCTACCTGTTTCTAAGCTTCGTTATAAAACTCCCTTAGATGACATCAAGTTAGATATAACTTTAAGTTGCGGTAGTAAATACACCTTACCTGAGTCTGTATAGTAACAGGAAGTTGTCGTCTACAAGTTTCATGATAATTGTTTATAATTCTTCTTACAATAACGTATTAATAAAAGAAAAAAATCCTAAAATACAAGTATTATATTACATTGCAGGTCTGCAAGTGTTCTTTCCTGTTGTACTTCGACGTTTCCGACGAAACGATGACTAAGCGACTGTTGCAAAGAGGCATTAGTAGCGGCCGTGTAGACGACAATGAAACAACAATTAAAAGCCGACTCCAAACCTTCCATAGCCATAGTCAACCAATCTTAGACTATTTTGGTGACAAAGTCAAAAAGGTAAGAGATGACTTCGAAACATGATATCCAGGAGAGCCAAGGTTTCTCATGGGCCCTGGGGAAGGATCGTTTTGTGCCCACCCCCTCTCCCGATCAGTTCCTTCACACACACACACTCTCCTTCTTTCCATGTTAAAGTAAGCCAGCAAACAAGATTCTACATTCATCTGATTTTGTATTCACCAACCAATTATGGAACAGCATTGTGACATGTGGATATTGGATCACTTGATGATCAAACAAAATGGCAACTTCATGATAAGAAGAGTAGGTGGAATCATGCAGTTAAAGCACAACAAATTACTTTCTTAAAATTACTTGCCGTCTTTTAGTGTGTTCGTAGAGTTATATATTCAAGTTCTAGTCTGTTGATTTTAAAGTAAATTGCGATTGGATTTATAGTCAGATATTAAATGTCTGTAGCAGTCGTAAAAATCGACAGTTGATTTACATGTATTTTCATTGGTCATCAGGATCGCCAGGACTTTAGTCCAAAATTCCATCACCTCCACATATTCACGCTGTTGCCTCTATAGTGTAGTTAGTGACTTCTAGAGCGATGATCCCATTTATTTCCGACCAATAACAAGAAAAGAGCAGTAAAGCCCAAATTTAGCTGGTATTGTGTCTGTGACTGCTATTGAAGTTCAAAATATTAAAATCCAAGATATCGTTTTTTTTCTTCTTCTTTTTTTTTTAGTTGAACAGAAAATATAGAATAAACACACCAGAAACAAAAACAAGAATGAGTAGTACGCGTATTACAACAACAACAACAAAGTTACTATAGTCAGTAGTGCTCTAAAGGATAAAGAAATTATAAGAGAGTTGGCTTTGGAGAAACGCGTTGAAAAACTTGTCTTAGTTGTCTCATGTTTGAAACACTGAACAACTTCAACGTGCTTGCAGGGCTGACGAGAGGGGGGCAAGAAGGGCAGCTGGCCCGGGGTCTGTTGAGGGACCGGGCAGTGGAATATTCCAAAGCTCATTAGAAATGCATACTACTTTAATGAGCTAAAATGGATACTCTTTTTTTTTTTTTATTGATTCATGAAGAAATTTGTCACCTAAATTTCTTATATGAAAAATCAGCAAAAGTCAATAAATAGAATGAAAGGGGGAGCCAGATGATATTACTGACCCCGGGGCCTGGGTTGGCTCTCGACGCCCCTGTGTTGTGTTCAGTAATTATACATTTTTATATTTTGCTTAATAAATGTAAAATGTCATATTACCAAAATACAACGAATGGGATACAATATTATCGTACGATGTAGTATATTGCAAAGTAGTATGTTATTTTGTGTAGTACAGGTTAGTAGCACCTCCCGCAATACAACACAGGTTATGAAGCTCAAAAACAGGTATAGTACCCTATGGTTTTATTTTGTGTAGTACAGGTGTAGTAGCCCCTCTTGCAATACAATACAGGTTATGAAGCTCAAAAACAGGTATAGTTCCCTATGGTTTTATTTTGTGTAGTACAGGTGTAGTAGCCCCTCTTACAATACAACACAGGTTATGAAGCTCAAAAACAGGTATAGTTCCCTATGGTTTTATTTTGTGTAGTACAGGTGTAGTAGCCCCTCTTGCAATACAACACAGGTTATGAAGCTCAAAAACAGGTATAGTCCTCTATGCTGTTATTTTGCGTAGTACTGATGTGCGCAGGTACAAGACTGATTATGAGGATTAGAAACAGGTGGTTCTCTATGGAGGCATTTTTACAGTACATGTATAGCCACGTGCGCAGATACCGGTGAGGCATGTTTTCACCTATGCTATCTATACTAACCTAAATTTTTTCCATTGAAAGAAAGGAAATTACATTCTAATACTAGCACTAAATGACCTTATACAGTTTCTTCAGGAGCGTTTCGCTAAAACATAAACCGTAACTCTTTTATACACCAATATGCACTACATAAATCAAGTTACATTTTGTTGATAACCTAATTTGTTGCGATTAAGATTTAGGTATTTCTTATCCTGTGTGCTATCTGTTATGTGTTTCTCATCCTGTTATTTCCTAATACAAATAAGTGTTACATATGGAATCATTAAAACTACTTTTACAAGTCTTTTCCAATTTTTTTTCCGGAAGAACACATCAGTTCCACAACTCACTCATTTCATCTGTTAGTGTTCGTTTCACCAATGGCGATCAGAATAGGAGCAAATAAGAAGACTGAGGAACGGAGGGTTGTTATTTAGTTGTTGCATCGCACAGTGTTTCTACAGAATACACAGTTCACTTTGGCTTCCTCCTTTGTAATTATGGTTGTATGTGAATGCCTACATTGGTGTTCAGACTGTTGAGCCAGCGCATACTACGGTTAGTGTACATCAAAGTTAACAGCGCTCTCCGCCCCGAACCCCTACTTTGATTAAGATGCAGAAGTATTTTTTAAGCTCAGGTAAATGACCTTAGAAGCACTGTTATACTCTCTCGTATGCTAAATATATTAGAAACGCGTTATTCCACTCGGAACTTATTGGTACATTATGAGGGTTTCTTAAACCACTGTACAGGTCACTGTTAAAACATAATCATATGGTTAAATATAGATGAAGACAATTTGATTCTGAAGCCGTTTTTGTTTATGAAAAATTGATTAATTAATCCTGTCTACATGCTTTGACGAAAATTGCGAATTTGTTTGAATATTTATCTATTCATTATTTGCCTATCTTTATATATATATATATATATATATAAA